CTCCTTCCATAGTCGCGACTTTGCCCTGGGCTAGTACCCTTTTCTGGAATTTGGTTAAGGTATCCTTTGCCCTTTCTGGGTTAAGAGCCACTTGCTTCTTTGTCCTTTCCATAACGCCCTAATCTCTGTCTCCAACAGGCTATAAAGAATTGCCTTGGCTTCCATTCTAGTCATCGGAGTCTTGCCCACCACTTGCTGACATCTTCATTTCCAGATTGTCCATAAAGTGTACTGTCTCAGAAGCTGAAAGATAAATTTGTGACCTGCCGTCCACCCCTTAGGCTCCTCACTTCCTGTCAATATTAGTTTTGTGTTTTGCGGGAAGGGGACCTCCGTAGTGTGTGTCCATAGTGAACGGGCTAAGGACCAGAGATTGGCCAAGGTCAGGAGCATGCAGTGGCTCATCTTTCATGTAGCACTCCCAGTCAATGTCTGGCTGTTCGATAAGCGAAACAGGCTCAATAGGAACGACACAGATCTAGACTTGTTATGTGTAGGGAAAACCCTTTCTACCTGTTCCCTTGGTATATCCACTCTCTTCTCCCATCGTATCGCCAAAATGTGATCTAAATGACATGATCTCCCCCTTAGACGGTAGCCCAATTTAGTGGTGTACTGAAGTATATTAATTTTCCTAGTTACTCTTGACAAGCTTCCCTTGATGTTCCATGCCCACTCTGCTGGATCGATTTCCAAATCCCGAATGGATATCAGTGGTTCAAATATCGTAAAATCATCATTCTCCACCACTCTGACCTTTCTTAAGGTGCTTTTCTTAATGACGATCGGAACCCGCGACTCCTTATCCAGCATACTAACCGTGACTGCTGGAGATAGTATTGTGTACTTATCTGCTTCCACCCAGTGGTTAGAAGGTCCCACCTCCTGTCGTATGCGAAAGGCTGCCTCCTGTTCATTAGTAGAGGTTATTGTTGCCCAATCCCCCCATCTCCATTTGTCTGGTTCCTTCAATATCCTTGGCCACTCATCCGGGATCGAGACAAGAACGTCATTCAGGTTTTCAGTTAGTCTGTGACAGCCCTTCATTGTCTCCCTCAGCGCCCTCCCTATTTTCCATCTCCCCTTGTTGACCGACCAGAGATGTTTTACCTGCCATACCCCATGCTCTAACCACTTCCCCGACTTGGCGTCCTTTGCTGTTAGTGTTCTAGGTCTTCCTTGAGAATCTTTGAACCATGGATTACAAAAAAGCGGTTGTCTAAGCACTTCATCCTTCGTCTTTGGTTGTCTTACTCTTGCCGGGAAGACCTCCGCGTTTCTATTTATTTTACTTCTTCATTTTTTGAAAATCAGGCATTGCAACGGCTGCCAGGCAGCTTGACTGGGCCTCACCCAGCCAGGCCTGCCCCTATCCCACCTGGGCAGCCCAACACCTGCCTCTCTGGTGGTTCTGAGGGAATTGGAAAAGAAAAGACGGAGATGTCTGTCTGGTTTTTCTTTTCACCATTAAAGCTCATATACAATAAAGCACCGACCCCCACTTTTTTTGTGTTTTTCATCAATGCAGCCCACTCAGATCTCTAACCGTAATGGGGAGAAGCCTTGCAGTTGATTGTAAATCTTGTATCTGCCAGTGGAAAAGGAACCGGACCGTTGCTCCCCTCAACTGCCAGGTTGTTTTTTTGTCTTGTTTTGTTTTGTTTTCTTGAAAGAGAGAAGAACTTCAAGATATATACATATCTATGTATAGCTATGACCTACCTCATTTAGGCTCTGAACTTGAGGTTAAAAAAAAGAAGGAAAAAAAAAACACTTTGAGGACAGCGCAATCTTAAATGGATCTGACCATATATACGGCCGCACCTGGATGCATTCCGTCCCGAAATAAGTTAAAAACTAGGTTACCAATGGTCCGGAGACCGGACGTCTCCACCGGACGTCTCCCCCCCCGCCTTTTTGGCACCAACAAAAAAAATAAAAAAATAAAAAATAAAAAAATGACAGTGTTGCGCATGGCCTAGAGACCCCCCACAAAAAATTTCAGATTTTTCTGAGCATTTGCTGATAGGGTGGTATTTGGGGGGGGAGGGGGGGGTAGAAGGGTTTTTGGTGGGGATAGGAGGGGTATAGATGGGGAATGAATCTTTAAAGATTTTTATTATCTATTCTACTGGCCCAAATGATCCAAAAATTTGGTGGCATACACCTAATGCAAGGTGGAAGCCAAATGATTTTTTTCAAAAAAAATTTTTTTGCGCTAGGTCGGTCGGACATCCCGGACGGTCACGGGGGTCCCGGACGTCCGGCCCGGTAACCTAGGTAAAAAAAGTCCTAGTGTCAGTATGCCCTGAGAAAGAGAATTGAGAATCAGGTATGTACGGAGTTGATCATGTCCATCATTCTATGCGTGCACATCATGGTGTATCATTGTGAATGATTCTGAAAGGGTTGAAGACTCGAAATGCTTATTAAAAAAATATATTTTTTTTAAAACATTAAAAATGGACCATTTCTCTATTTACGCATGTCATCATTGTGCAGGGGCCATGCTAATCTTCTCTGTATCATTCCAATTCTTCTGGACCGGAAGTGCTTAAATTGTGAGCGGCACTTAAACTTCCATTGCAGACAGGCAGACAGACAGATCGACAGACAGATAAGCAGACACATAGACAAGAGATAGAGACATTACCTAGGTTGTTTTTCCGGGCGCCCGGGCACCCAGATTCTGCCCGGATTCATGCCTGCTTGCCCGGCCGGGCATGACCCCGGGGCAGGGTTCCGGGCAGCCCCAGCCGAAAAGAAGAAAAGTAAAAACAAATCAAAGAGTTCCGGGAAAAAAAAGAAAAATGTTGTGTAGATTTGCAATGCAAACAACTTTTGGCTGAGGGTCACATCTGAATTCCTAAATTGAATACAAAGTCTACAAGATAAAAAAAATAAAATAACAGAATCAGACTAAGGTACTCCCCTTTAAACCCCTTTAGCCCCTTTAAAGCCAATTCATACCCCCCTTACCCCCCCTCGACAGCCACACTCGAAAATAGAAAAGAGACCGGATTCCGGCTTCTCTGTTAATGCGGCAGAGGACCCCCACCTCGAAAAGAAGAAGACGAAGAAGAAGAAGAACACACTGGTACCCCGGGTGACACACCCCTCTGACGACTCACCCGATTGCCCGGTCGCGCAGAAAAAAGAAACTAGGACATTATGGTTACGGTCAATACCCCTTTGTTTTTTAATACAGAAAAGTCACTCTTGCCCAATCTATTCTGGGGGGTGACAGTCTGCTTGCTTATCACTGGCAAAGCAAGCAAAAGGATGCGAGAGAAGAAGGTGGCTCTGCTGGGGCTCTAGACACCTAGGGCAGTGAGCTATTATTGCTGTACAGTGAGGGGCAGGGAGACTCAGTCACTCAGGGAGTGTGGGCCCTCAATTGCCTACTCCCTCTGTATTGTAACAAAGCTCCTGCTGCCAGAGTTTGCCACACTTGATGCTGTGGCCACATCAATTCAAAACATTTTCGACACTAAGCCCTATCTGGAACCCTCTGGTTCCGGCACCGTTTGACATAACGGCTTTCCATGCCTCCATTGACAATTTGACAAATAGCACAGACAAACAGACAGACAAGAGATAAAGACACAATCTCATTCCGGGCCAGAGAAGCATACATATAGCTAGACAGACAAAGTGTGTCAGATAGACAGACGAACAGATAGGAACACAGAGATGTACAAACAGATAGGCGGACAGATAGACAAACAGACGGACAAGAGATAGAGACATTACCTCTTTCCAGGCTTCCTTCTTCGGATCGTGCTTCTCTCCCTGGCGCACAGCAGAACGTCAGATGAAGGTGTTTGTGTGTGTCAGAGAGGTGTGTGATATGAGATCTGAAACGAGCAATCTTCACACCGAGACATGGATTTGCAGAGAGAGGGTATAGGGATTTGCAGAGAGAGGGTATAGGGGATTTGCAGAGGGTATAGGGATTTGCAGAAGGTATAGGGATTTGCAGAGAGAGGGTATAAGGATTTGCAGAGGGTATAGGGATTTGCAGAGAGAGGGTATAGGGGATTTGCAGAGGGAATAGGAAATTGCAGAGAGAGGGTATAGGGGATTTGCAGAGGGAATAGGAAATTGCAGAGAGAGGGTATAGGGGATTTGCAGAGGGTTTAGGGATTTGCAGAGGGTATAGGGATTTGCAGAGGGTATAGGGAATTTGCAGAGGGCATAGGGATTGGACACAAACTTCAAGAGAGGCATTTCAGAGAATCTGAGCCCAGTGCACTGTTGAGCATAAGACCCAGCTGTCCTCAACAGGCATACTTAGCAAACATCTCACATCGTATGGAGGACCTGAGGGAGGTAGCAGGAAAGCAGAGGGTTGGAGGGTGGGTGGGTGGAAGGGCCAGGCACACGCACATGATTCACAAGCAGGCAGATGTGCAGTCAGGCAGGCCTCAGACAATCCAGGAAGCGAGAAGATGAGGCCAGTCGTGAAGCAACCTGGCAAGCAGCAAGGCAAAGCAGGCTGGAGCGAAGGACAGGGCAGGCGAGCTCGGGAGCAGGCAAAACAGCAGGAGCACAAGGTAAGTGGGCAAGCAGCACAGCAACACAAGCAGCAAGGGAGCACGGCAGCGCCGACAAGGAAGTACGCATACAGCACGGACCAACGCCAATCACCACCTACTCATAGCACACGTAGAACTGCACAGACTGTGGGTTCACATGACCGTCAGAGTCAGTGAGTCACTTTGACGTGTGTCTGTCATGAGCACTGAGCACAGACACACGAGCATTCCGAACACAGCAGCCCCTAACATTCACAGAGACCGAGAGACACACACACACACACACACACACACAGAGAGAGAGAGAGAGAGAGAGAGAGAGAGAGAGAGAGAGAGAGAGAGAGAGAGAGAGAGAGAG